TTATTTATTCAGGGAGAAGTGCATTTTTAATTGCACAATTTTTAATCAAATATCACTCCAGCTTCGGGTCTAATCTGGACATCTGCTGCCGGAGCCTATTAACAGAGCACTGAGACACAAGCTGCAAATCAGGACTCGAGCTACATTAGAAATGCTGTGAGCATACAAACCTGGCTAGAAGATAAAAATTCAAATACGGAGAGCTATTCCAAAGTGCTGACACTGGGTGTCATTCAAATGCATCTCGCATGATTGTACCACAAACTAACCCTTCCTCCCTTAGAATATGCAGAGGCAGATGGAATACACACAGCAATCATAACAATCTCAGACAACAGACTATGGTGGAAAACTTAAGCCATAACTACTGCAATGGGAATGCAATACTCCAGCGAGAAAGCAGCAACTACGGGAAACAACAAAATCCGACCAAATAAAGACGCTGATGTACAGCTAGAAATACAGATGCACATAAACGGTCCAAAATAAATCAATATACTTTCTTCTGGGTATGAAATTAAAGCAGGTAAATACCACAGACACAGAATGAAAACTTCTATTGAGCGTTTTTTTTTTTTTTTTCCTTTAAGCAATTGTGCCGCATAAACAATACAAAAAGAAGCTAGATGGTTTTATTCTTTAGTTGTCAGCATTTTAGAGAGTATGTAGGTCATGATGGCACACTATGAGAATACAGAAACACTGCAAGCCTTATAAAAGAAACATCAATCTGAAAATTCATTGCATCGCAGAGGTTTCTCAACTTTCTGGGGGTTGGGGGCTTGGAAAGTCTCGCCCAGCAACTATTGGCCAGAGAGCGACTCCTGAATACACGTTGCACACCTCTGGAAGTCAAAGACTGCTGACCTGTGTACTATTACACTGACTGTGAGGCTCCAGTTTTACACTCTTCAGTAGCCTGATATTCCATTTTTTTTCCTCTTCACCCTTGTGACAAAATAAAAAAAAACAAGAGCCACTGAGAATGTGTTTCTGACTGCCTTCACACGCTCGTACTTATCATCGCCCTTTGTCACAGATCCGACATGAGGTGTTCGGCATCGCGGAGGCCGTGTCGGCTGAATTATTGAGGACATCAAGCGGCTTCATTGACAAGCTCTGCTTCCCACTGGGCTGTCCAGGGGTCACAAAAGACCAGACCGGAGGCCCTTGGCAGGCTGAAGCTATTCTGAGGATCCCCTTTTCAGAGCTAACTCTGCTTTGTGAGCAAGAGGCAACTAAAAATGTGATGTGGTATTACGCAAAAACAAACAAAAGTGAAAGGCAGAGGGAAGAAAGTTTAAATAAAACTATTTTGAATATTTTTGTAGTTGCTAGCTGACCCCTGACATTATTTCAACACAGAACAGTTTGTGGCTTCATATATAATTCCTGCTATATTCACAAAGGCTGGACTTACACACCGCTTTGGGCAATTTTCACAAACAGAGAACATGATGAATTTCTATTTTATTCTCCCTATGACACAAGTAAGCACATTTCTTTTTGGCTTTCCTCACCAAGCTTTAGCCTGGAACATGCAGGGAGAGGTTTACTGTTTCAAAGTCAAACCCAATGCCAATCTTTCCGCTTGTTCTTGACCCAGAAAGCCCACTGGAGCACGCTGAGCCATAAATGGTAATCTGTAGGTTATAACAGTGTGAGCACATCCAGAACCGAACCAGCAGGACGGTATCCTGTGGTTGGGTGGCAGGTGACTTCAATCCCAGCGTGCCTTGGCCACATAGACTCCAATCAAAGCAAAAAAAAAAAAAAAAAAGGGCTCTCATGTCTGAATATACGCCTTTCTTCATTTAAAATAAACCAGCTGCAGAATGGCTGCCACATCATCACAAACAATTACCACCTTGGTTGTTCTGTCTGCAGACACCTACGCAAAACATCGCCACCAAAACATCTGCACATATGAGTGCAATGAGATGCAGGATCAGTTTATGTTATGCACAATGCAATAAATCACGCTAGGCGTTGCACAACAGCCACCCGACAGCTACAATAGCCTTCGCCTTGAGAACACTCATCCGTCCTGTTCAATCAGAGCCCAATTTCTGATGTTTCCCGTCAACATGGAACATTCATCTTTATGTGAATAAAAAAACCCATTTATATTCTTAGCTGTCTCAAGCTCCTCTGTAGTGAATTTATCAACATATTTATGAATTGGGTAAGAAATAAATATGTTACACAAAAAAAGAGGCTGTGCATAAAGCATATGCCATGTTTTTTATAGTATTTTCTGCTTTCCTCGTGCAGCATACAATGTAGTTAAGGACTATGGCAATGCATCAAGTGCTGTCACTAAATATCCCCTCTCTAAGCACATTTCAAGAGCACGCAATCCGCTCCCTTCCAAATCCGAGGGTGACTTTCAGCAATAATTTGGCAACTTGTACAAATCCCACACAGCACCTTTTTCCTTTCATGATGCTCTCTAAACAGGATCAACTTTGTTGCAGGTGTGCCATCACTGTGTTCAATTCAGGTAATCCTCTGACCGCAGGCCTTTAGGGCGAACAGGAGAGTCTATCGGCTGAGGGGAGTTAGAAAAACTTGGTTATGTTAAACTCCAATCGACCTAAAGACTGCACCACGCCGCGCTTCACATGCACTTTTCCACTATTAATCATGCTGCTCTCGTGGGAATGAAGGGAAAACACACCCAGCGAAAAAGCAGGTGAACGAGAGAATACAGCAGACAATAGCAAACTAGGATTTGTGTTAATAGCAACAGATTATAGGGCAGCAATTATGTAAAGCAAATATGACATGGAACCGATCCGTCGAGCCCAGGGAACTGTTGGTAGTTTGTCAGGCTGCATTAACCTTCACATGTTTGCTCCGACGTGTTGAAACAGGCGACTAGGCCACGCTGTGTGGCATATCAAATGTTTTAATCCCAAAGGTCATCTCCAAAGCCACACTCAGCGTCCCCAAGTAAAAAAAAAAAGGCGAGATGCTGTAGGCGAGATGCCTGTGCATGGACTGGCCTTCCACCTCACCCATGTGTAAGTAGGGCGGAAATTCAACCTCTCTGCTTTTCCACAGTCTATAAAAATGCTTAAAGGCAGGATTCAACTTGGCAAGAGGCAGTTATCATCACACAGAATACTAAATTCTCCCCAGAAAAAAGAAATCACTCAAGGAAATGAACACAGTTCATATACAACTTCTGTATAAATTAGACATTTTCAAACTGCAATCATTGACCGTAGAATCATTCCACGGATTTGTAAATGTAGTCACCTGCTTCTATTCGTTTACTTCAAATAAAATGACTTTAAAAGCTGAGGAGTCAGATTAAAGCCTCAATAAGAGGTCACAGCAGAAAGCCTAAATGTCTCACTGCTCGATGCGTAGCCATCTGCCATACTGTGGCACTCTCTATAAATAGTGATCTACATCTAGTTCTCTCTATACAGCTTTGCTAAATGTTTTGACGAACAAAGAGCCACTGAGACCTTTTTGAATCCAGGTGTGTTTCTGAAAGTGTCAAAACGACATTTGTGATTTATCAGCAAAACTCTGGCTGCCTAAAATGAGTCACATTGGTTTGTGTTTGCTGTACATGGAGGTCAGTTCTTGCTATGATCCATAAAGGAGATGTGACTGTCGTGCTACTACTGGGTGCCAAAGAAAGACAAACTGTTGTCTCAGAGAGTTTATTGGTTCTCATAAAACACTTGTCACATCTTCTTACACTTATTTTTACATCCATATACATCCACGTGTTATGATTTGCAGGGAGGCAGGTGTGAACTGGGGGCACCACACCTATTGGCGGGCATAATTCACCAAGCACGCCCGAAGTGGTGAAAATCCGCATTAGTTTATGATTCCAGTCGTTGTCAGACGTGGAGCATAAAACACAAAGTGGCCTCAACCGCTGCAGTTCCTCAATCACACTGGGGACAAAAGCCATAAATCAATTTAGCTGAAGAGATATACTTGTCCTCCTGGGCTATCATGTGGACCCAGATGCATGTATCTGCAGATTGTGTTTAGCCTGATCCCTGTCAGAGTCATATCAGATCAAAATCTGTCTCCATGTTTAGCAGTCTAGCACCATTCCCTGCTTGAAAGAGGATGAAAATTACCAGAAATCCGAAACCTCTTGTTTTATAGAAACAAATATCATGAGTTGGGTCTAATGCAGGATATCTGGCTCTAGTTTTGCTTGCTCGTCAGGCTCCTCTCAGACCTAAGCAGCTTTGGATCTGCATTCTAAAATCTTACTCAGGACTTGGGGCAGAATCAACACAAAGCTCATTTGAAGTTTTTTCACTACATCTTATAGCTGAAACCCTCTAAACTATGGATGACTGAATTTAAACGCTCTAAATCTAAATTAAAAAAGAAAAAAAGTGGTTAATTTATGTGACAATGGAAGCTGCTGGGCTGTTCTAATCACAATAAGTTATTTAATTTTATTTCTTACTGGTCTGCATATGTTCAAAAGTAAGAGGGGATGCAGAATAAGGGGATGGTTGGTCTCATTCTTCATTACCAGTGTAATTATGCTGCAAACCACCAAATGAACCACTGCTATGGGTTCATATTCCTGAATATTCCCGCTAAAGCTAAAAAAAAAAAAAAAAAAACGTGATAATTTGGTAGAGCTTGTAAATCAAATAGGCTGCTCCTTAGAAACTCTGTGTGTTTTATTATTAAACTTCCTATTGCACAGAAAACCCTGGATCAAACCGACTGTGAAATATCTTAAACCGGCATGGGTTTCACTGCTTAAAAAGAAAGAAGAAAGAAAATCAAACATCATACATCTTGTTCATATAGATCAGTGAGAAAAATGGAAAACGGGACAGTGATCCCAGCAGGTTGCGGCTCTTTGCGTCTTGTCAAAGAATACGGAATATAGAAGGAGAGTAAAGCATGATAATAAAAGGAATATAATCGGAATTACAATAATCATTGTGCAGATTTATATAAAATGGGTGAATTGGGGGAAATGATGGAGCACTGACCTGTAAGAGGATCCAGCGGGTCTCTCCGAGGCGCATAAACTTCCAGCGGTGCGCTTCGCTCCTAACTTGCAGGCAGCAGCGCGCACAATAAACCGAAAGAGAAATTTTGGCTGCGACTTTATTTTTCTGCTCTGTGCGCACAGACTCCTCTCAGTCCGCTTCCAGACGCTGAAACCGATGCGCGCGTCTCGGAGCCACAGACTCGTGCCTGGCCGTGCGTCGCGGACCTTCCGCTGCCAGCTCCGCTAGAAACGCTCCGAAATCTTCCCAGTCCTCCCGGCGAATCAGCTCAAGCAGCAGCTCCAGCCATGCATCTGTCCTCCTCCCTCAGGAGATAACGCGGATATATATTTCCTGTCGCCAAGCAGCTGTGCAGAAAATTTAGAGAGAGAAAGAGAAAAAAAAATCCTCAGTCGGTAAGGATGCGGATGCTCGCCATCCGCTCTGCTGCGCTTTTGTCCGATACGCGCTTGTCAGCTGGGAAGCTGCGCATCCAGTCCTCAGCCTCAACCTGTTCTCTGCCTATCAGGCCGTAAATACACACGAGGGTCAACTTTGACCCCTAGACTGTGAGCAACAAGCAAACGGTGGCACCTGTAAACAACATGGGAAGCCTCATTAACAGGACGCTTTAACTCAATCCGTTTGATGCAAACTATTAAAATCCTTTTTTTAAAGGTTTTCTAGAAAAAACTGAAAATAAATAGTTAATCACCAGATGTGGATTAACTCTGAGTCAGAGCTTCCTCTCATGCCACCTGCCTGTTCCCCCTCAGCATCCTTCCCTCTTTTGTTTAGAGAAGCTGTTCATTAAGCCTACAGGAGCCATACCTATGAGGACGTCCAGTCATTTAATTGGATAAGTCACAAAACTGCATTTGTTTTTTTATTTATTTATTTTTTTGTGTGTGTGTGTATTGAGGAACAAAAGGAAAGGCAGATTGATGTAAATAAATGAGTTATTTCTCAGCAGCAAAGACTGGCCGCTAAAGGTTACCCAAGCTGTTAATTAAACAGTTAGATAAACAAGGCAGCCTGAGCCTCACTGTTCAAATTGAAATGTTTCTTTTGGGTAAAGCTTAATTCATATTGTTTCAGTCCATCCACCATCTGTAGCGGCGCGGATCAGCTGCAAAGAGGATAAGCAAAAAATATGAACAGTTTGAGCTCCATCTAACAGAAACAATAATTAAAATCACTAAGCAGCTAACGCTGTCACAGACTGGATGTTTTTTTTTTCTCTCTTTTTCTTTAACATAGAAAGTATTCCTGGACTGGTTCCGTGTTGCTCTTACTGGGCCACGTTCTGTGGGAAACTTTCCTTCCACTATCAGCAAATGCTTGATAAATCATTCAATCCATGATCATCTTATTGAGAAGTTCATTTATTTTTCTAAGTGAAACACATGCTATTTACATGTCTTCCTTGTTGCTAATCATTATTTTCATTCTTTCTACCAACAGGTAATAAAAACAATATTCAAAATGTAAAGAAAAGTAAATAAAGTTGATGAAGGTTTATTCACACCTGCTTAAAGGTTGATATTTTCAAATGGAACAACCAATCTGTCTAATCAGAACTCATAGTGTGATTTATTAAATATGACCATGTGTTGTTAAATGTTTCTGTTTTAACTGAAAGACAGCGCCATACTGCTGCCACCATGTTGCACCGAGGGTTTGGTGCTCTTTGTGTTCTGACGGTGTGATGTGCAGGGTTGTCTTTATGCGTAACATACCTTTAGGGATTAAGCTCTACTGTTTCTGCCACAGGGTTAAGAAGATTTTACTCATATCTGGATCTGCTCATTGGAAGAAAATACTCCTGTTTCTCAACCCTGCTCCTGAGAAAACGCAGGAGAATGTAGAACACAGCAATACTTTGCTGAAAATCTCTGTACCTCCTGCAGTGTCACTGCAGGTCTTTTTTGCAGCCTCTCTGACCTGTTTCAATCTTGTGTTTTCATCATTTTTGGAGAAATGTCCATTTTATTTTACGTCTGCGTTGCTTTTTCCTGTTTTATATCTGTAGTAAAGTGCAGATATAATAATATTAAGGAATGTTTTTGTATTTCTCTTCTAACTAAAACTATTTTATATGAGCAGACAAAAGGAAACTTCTACAAGGACAGTCGATTCTTTATGAATGAACCCAAGAAAACTGCATGCTGAAATTGAATTAAAAGGCCCATCAGCAAAGCCTCAGATTAAATTTATTTATCTAAGATAGATCACTTTTAACAAGATAGCATCATGTAATTAACTGAGTCTCACTACTGTAGTGCATTGAGCATCAAATATGGGAGCATATGGTTTTTGTAGCATGACTGGGTTGTATTGATGACCCATCCAGGGTGACCCAAGGTTGTACCATCACATTAAAAATGTGTGACTGGTGCTGTGTATAGTAAATGCTGTTGGTCACATTAGATTCTGGTGGCAATGCAGCTCTTGAGTCCTGCATTTGATACCTTAAAAACCCCCAAAACTGCTTGGAATCTGTCTAAACTGCCTCAGTTTAGTTCAACTTCAACATTTCCTGTATTCTGAAGCATTCCTCTTCCTCTGGGGTTCAACTGGGATCCGTTTAATATCCAGCCCCAGCCTCCTTAAATTTTCATCTTCAAAGAAAAGTTTTAAGATACAATACAATCTTAATATACAATGTTGTTGTTTTTTTTGCCAATATGTTTGTAACTCGTAACATATTCTAAAAATCCTCTTTAATGAATAGACAATAATATATTAGGACTTGATGGCAAGAGTACCGTACTGCAGGGGAAGGGAGCTGCCAGTTTTATGATTATTGCTGGAAGTACACACCAGAAATGGGTCCTGAAATTGAGGTTGGTCCCAACAGGAATTTTATGAAATCAAATCAAATCCACTGACCCTATGATTTAAGCCTGATTTATTTCCTTCCCTAGCTTTTAAGGAAGGGAATAAACCAAAGGTATTAAATTAGGTTTAGATATTAACTCCACGGACGGTTTTCTCCAAAACTTCTGGCGTATTTTTTTTGTATTCAGAGAACTTTACTGGAAAAAATATATAGCTGTATTATCGTCAGCTCTTCCAACACCTCTACCAAGCTCTACAAAAGGCAGTCAGGTGTCATTTATGTAAAAAATATAAATTCAAGTAAGAATTTCAACTTTAAACCTTGAGTTTTACATTGAAATTTAAAGTTTGCTGATGAAAATTCTCAGTCATCCAGGTCATTGTCATCCACAAGTCCAGTGGATTGTTTTTTAAACTTTTACGAAATTTAAAGTTTAAATTACCTTAATTTTTAAAATAAAAATATAAAGCTAAAAGTACGAAGGAAATTAATAAATAAGAAACAAATCCAAGTCAACCAAGTTCTGGTGTGCACTTCTAGTTTTGATGGTAAAAATGGTGGAGCCCTGCCCATGCAGTAGGGCAGGGATTCCCAACTGGGGGTATGCGTTCCCCTAGTGGTCCACGAGTGCATTTCAAGGGGTACATTTTATTTTTTTAGGTAGTAGAAGAAAATAGGGCAGTGATCTGTTTTGCTTTGTGAGGACCCAATTGAAAAAGTAAACACGCTTTTATGAACCAAAGAGTAAGTTTTGCTTATCTGTCTGAGTTCACCTGCAGCTGTGACAAAACCAAGCAGAGGAACAGACTGGATGTAGAGAACAGCCTTGGATCAGCTGCGTTTCACACTGAGTATCGGAGCTCATTAAACAAGCTCCTCTGCCTTGATCAAAACAAAGTAAACTAATGAAGTTAGCCTGACTATAATTTTTTATTCTGTATTTTGTTCCCAATTCCTCAAGTTTAAATGTGATTATACTGTAAGTTACTCAGAGGAGCTCTAGTTTTATAAATAGAGGTTTATAATAGGATTTTATTTTATTAACTTTTTTTGTTTTGTTTTTTTAATTTGAAGTAGAAAGCATAAATTGCTTAAGAATCAAATGCTCAAATTAAAAGATTAATAAAATATTATAATAATAAAATAATAATGAAATAGTTTATAATCAGTTATTGTAAGTTCCACTTTTCGACAATCATCAATACTATTGACTGAGAGGGGAACTCATGGTAAGATAAAATGGGGTACACAAGTCAAAAAAGGTTAGGAAGCACTGCAGCAGGGTGCCTCTCCTTAAAGGGGAGAGATAAAGCTGTGTCCTGAGCTCATCCCACCAGCCTGTAGCTCTTTGCATTTACACCCCAGCTATTTCTGAGTTCATTTTAAGGTGGATAGCTGATCTTCTTAAATTCCATCAACCCCTAAATCTTTCAAATCAAGGTTCTAACTTCTCATACTTACCTGTAGATGAGGTTAAAGCACAAAGAGGGCAACGCCTTTTCAATTGCAGTCCCATTCTAAGAAAATAGCTTTTACTGATGATCAAATCCCTGTGTTTAAGTCTAGGCTTAATTATTTCTTAGAATATTTAGAACGCATGTAATGTTTCTTATAATGATTATGCCCTTAAAAAAGCATCACACTGTTTTATCACATTTTGTATGCTTTATATTATCATTATTATTGATATTAGATGTAATCTTTCTTGCTTCTTTGACTTTTGTTGCTATTCTTAAAGCTGTATTTAACACTTTGGGCAACGAGAATGTATTTTATTACACAAATAAATTTAGCTGATTTAATATAGGCCTTTTTTCCAACTCAAGATTTTGCCTTGTTTCCCACAGGAACATTCAACAGCCTGCAAGCAGGCCCTGCAATTGTTTGAAGGGCTTTAGTTGACGATAATGCGGACAGACTTGAAGCTCTTCTGCTCTTTGTAAGTGTGAAAATTTCGTCTTGATGAGCTCCAGCCAAAGAGATAAGTCCACATGCCTCCCAGCCATTCCCTGCCCTGGCCTAACACCAAGACTGCTTTCAAAAAAACATACAGGACTCCATCCGATTGGCTTCAAATGATAGCATTTAGAGGATATATGACAGTGACAGAGTTTCGTTAATTACAAAAGCGACAGTCCACTAATCCCACTAAAAAGGCATTTTGAGGCTGAGTCGTTTTGGTTCTGAGGAAGAAAGAAGAGAGTAAGACTAACAATACCAATGGCAGATCACAGACCTTCAAACTATGGTCTGCAGGCTCTGCAGCCCAATAGGGGGCCAACTACTGCAGCTCTGACTGGGCATTTTTCCTTGAAATCCCCTTCCTGAATTTACCCCACGTTTGGCCACATGCAGAGATGAAGTTATCACTGAGGACAGCTTTTCTCCAAGCAAAATCAGCCCTACCCTTCAATGCTTGATTCCTCTGTTACACCCGCAGCACATCAAACACTCGTCTCCATCAAATGGCATTATCTGCATAAAAAAAAAAGCCAACTGCCCAACAATCTATCGCCAACACCGACATTCAGTCTTTAGTCAAGGGCATGCCATGAAGTAAGGAAACGAAAATACTCTGAATTCCTCTGCAGCCAATAGTTTTCCATGGTTCTGATACTTGCAGAGAAAATATGTGCCTCTGTTAATAATTTTGGGTTCCATCAAAAGAGACTTTAAGTTAGTTACCTAGCAACAAATTCCCATCCGTTGTTTGCTCAAACGTTATTTCACAACATCCATTAAGTTTCCATTCTCAATAACATTTCTTGCGTCTTTCCTGCAAGACAATCAGCAAGGCTTTAGTTTCCTTCACTTGCATGCTCTCCATGTATGTGCAGTCAACTGTGCCCTCTATTGGAGGCCAGTCACTTCCAGCACCCATAGACTC